TTTAAAAAATCTAGATCCTATAATCTAAAGTGTTTGGCTCTGATACCACATATTATAAAATTAAAACATGAATTCTACTTCACTCTATTGACAATGTGAATAGAATTAAATTAAAAACAACATCCAAAATATCAACACTTAAATTATAGAATACTAAAATTTATAGTAAAGGGTTATAGACAAACCTGTTTGTGCCATGATTCTTGATCTTTGAATTTCTTAAAAGAGGAGCAACTGTTTTTTCCCTAAAAGGCAGAGAGCGTAAGTCTTCATTTCCAATAACGCAACTTGATGATAACTTCCAAAATGGATTTCAATTATCTTATATCTCATATGGAAAGGGGACTTAGCCAATTTAATAATAGTTTGTTGGGCCCTCCTAATAAACCCTAAGGCCCACACTTTGTTGTCAATCCAGATTAATCAAATGAAGTGTAATGGGCTAAACTTTAATATGATCACATTAAACCCATTAGTATATCAGTAGCCTATCAATTTACCCAGTTTTAATCAAAACTAACATATAATTAATGTTAGCTCACAGTTAGAAAATTTTCCTAATAGCAAATGGTGCTATGGTTGATGGTTTGTTTAAAATTCATTTAAGTGATACTGTTCCTTATAGTTTAATGACTTCACATGATAGTGCTGGTATTACATTACTAGAAAAAACCTCATTTCTTGATAGGTCATAACTGTCAAGAAGGGGGTTTCTTGACAATTCTTCACCCGTCATTGAAGCCAGTGTCAAGAAAGGGTGGTGACCATCTTTGAACTGTCAAGAATTTCTTGACAGATCTCTTGCCAATTATAACCATTGTTTTAAAAACCGAACCGGAGGACAAACCGTTTTGATGATCGGGTCACGGTTCAATCGGTCCAACCGGTTGGACCGGTGACATCATCACACATCATGATGATGTCAATATATTTTTAAAATAATTTTTATTTTATTTTTTAATAAGATAATAACAACTATTGGCTAACATGATTCAAATTCAAAATCCATTCTTCTTATTCCACACTATCTGACAACACAACAATTCTTGGGAAATTTGATTTCAGCTTCAGCCCTTCTGACTTCAATATAAATGCTTAGATGCTAATAATTAAAGGATTTATAATATTTTTAAGGATACAATTTTTTTATAAAAATATTTCTTTGNAAAAAAAAAAAAAAAAAAAAAAAAAAAAAAAAACTTAGTAGACATCACTAACAGCAACGAATTTATTCAACTCTCTTGCTAAACCCTTTGTTAAAGGATCGGCTAGATTCAGACTTGATTTGACATAGTTAATTGTGATTACTCCATTTGAGATCAAATCTCTTACATAACTATGTTTAAGTCTAATGTATCTTGACTTTCCATTATATACATGGCTATGAACTCTTGACAATGTAGTTTCACTGTCACAATGTATATAAATTTGTGCTATTGGTTAACACCATGCTAGTGTAAATTACTTGGATTACTGGTGTACCTACTTAGATTTTCTTCTTTTAATTTGTAAATCTAACCTAACCATGTCATGCAATCTTCTAAAATTCACATGTCCAAGTCCATAATGCCATAAAAATTCAGACTCAACAATATAAGTAGGAATAACTTTATTATTATTATCAGTCATACCAATATTGGCAATATTAAGTTTGAACATGCCATCACACAAGTAACCCTTCCCAACAAACATGCCCCCTTTGGACAGAACAAAATTATCTACTTCAAATACAAGTTTGAACCCAAATTTGTTCAATAAACTACCAGATACAAGATGCTTTATAACCTCTGGTATATAATACACATTGGTTAATGTTAATTTCTTATCAGATGTAAATTCTAACTCTACTTTTCCTATTCCCTTGACTTGGGCAGTAGAGGAGTTTCCCATGAACAATACCATGTCATCTTGTATTGGTTCAATGGATTTGAAAAAATCCTTGTTCTTGCAGACATGTTTTGTTGCACCAGAATCAACCCACCATGCAAAATTATCTTCTAGTAGATTTATCTCATAAATCATTGCTACTAGGTTCTCATTTTCCGCACTAGTAGAGTACTTCTCCTTCTTCTTTTCCAAAATCGACAATCCTTCTTGAAGTGGCCATGTTTTCCACAAAAGAAACATTTTGCTTCTTCCTTTGGTTTCTTGCTTTTATGTCCAACACCAGGACCATGGAAAACCCTGTTATTTGCAGACTTGGAAGTTTGTTTTTCTTCTACCATATGAATTTTGGAATTCAGAACTGATTATTCCTTTGATTCATCCTACAAACGAAATTCTTCTTCCACACGCAAAGATTTGGCCAAATCATCAAGTGATATGTCATCTTTTCTTTATGTTTGAGACTTCTTCTAAAATCTCTCCATGATGGGGGTAATTTATCAATTATTGAAGAGACAATGATGGTTTCATCCATATGCATTTTATGCATTTTGAAATGATTCAGAATTCTTTCAATTTCATGAAGTTGTTCCATAACAGGTTTCTTATCTACCATTTTATAGGAATTAAAACGAGAGATAAGAAATTTCTTACTTGTAGCATCCTCTTGCATGTACTTTGTCTCTAGTTTCTCCCACAATTCTCTTGCAATAGGCACTCCTTGACAAATGTCAAATAATGCATCTGACATTGCATTCAGCATATGTCCCCTGCAGATTTCATCATCATGTTCAAATTTATGCCGCTTCCTTCGTTTCAGCAATGGTTTCATTCCCCGTTTCCTCAAGTTTTAGAGTGTTCAGCACATAAGCAACTTGCAAAGACACCAAAAGAAAATGAATCCTTCTCTACCATAGAATGAAATTTCCTCCATCAAACCTCTCTAACTTCACGAAGTCAGAAGCCATCTCCCTGAGGGTATGAAGTGCAGCCATCTTGTTGCAAATAGAAGTAGCCAAAAATATCTTTTAGATTGTTAGAACCAAAATAGTGACTACCAACTTCAAGGCATGTATCCATGTCACTTTCCTAACGTAAATTTCACCCTTTTATAGTGTAAATAGGATCAACGAATTTCTTTAGAATAGAATGAAGAACCTACTTGTGTTATGCACAAAACAGAAGCAAACTAGAGAGAGTTTTGATTATAATAGAATTATAGTTTTCTTTGTTGTATACTTTCAAAAAAAATCTTACTTCTTATATAGGATTGTTGATATTTTTAAGAGAAGGTACCTTTTGGAAAATTCTTTGAGATATGGGCACAACCTTATAAAGGTAGATGACCTATTGATAATAGACATGCCCAATTAGATTAGAAAAATGTCTCACATTAATTCTGTGTACCATTGACTGAAAAATAAATGACAACGGCTTCGTTAGTCGTATAATTGTTTCTCCCCATTTCACTGTGGCCAACACTACATTGAGTTGGTGATGCACAAGATTGCTGTACGGATCCTTGGATGCGTGCAGTGGAGAAACAAAAGTTTGGGAAAAACTGAATTCTTAGAGCTGCACACCAGAAATCTTCAATGTGGATATTATTTTCATTCTATTTTATATATAACCTTCCAATATATTTCAATATTAGGCCAATATATAATAATTTAATTTTTCTGAATAATAATAATTTACAGGGTCAGTTTCTAAAATTTATCCATTTTTTGTCTAGAAAGTTACTTTTGAAGGGAAGATGTCAAGATAAAGTAGCACAGAGAGTTGGTCAAGATCACTCACTTCCCAAAACTTAAGTTATATGCATTGCAAATACAGGTTCACGGATCTCTTTCTAGTCTCAGATTTCTGCTCATGAATAAGACATACTATGCTATTCCCTATGTTCTATGATTTTCCATTGTTCTTTAGGTAGATTTATATTTTAATCAATTTCTAAGTTATATGTCACTGATTCAGAAGTTGAGGTTGACTTGCTAGAAGTGACTATGAATCCTGTGGTGCTCTTTTACCATTGGGGGTATTGCACTCAAGGCGAAGGAAACTTTGACTAGTAAGTATCACATATATACTTTTTTGTTCTTATGGTATTTTTCTATATAAATTATAACTTTACTAAAAGAACCTTTTTTTTTTCTTTTGACTTTTCAGAAATTTATTTGTAAAATGTTCTGTTTTTATGCGCTGGAGCTAGATAATCTTCCATCTGAAATGTTGAGGTGAAACTGAGTGTATTTCCGTAGTGTTCTTCTGTCCTTTGTTACTATTTTGTTCTTCATCAATTCTTTATGTGCCTTATGTAGTTATGGTGATCATCCTGAATGCTGTTGGATTGAATGCATCAGTTGCTGGGTGGCTCAAGATTGGTGTGTTAATTTGATTGTGGCTGTTGGATTTCAGCTGCATGCAAAATAATCGCAATGCTGAAGAGTTGAAAACTTCATTCTCATTGGCCATTTCTTCTACAGGATTCTGAAGACAATTCTTCCTCGTAAGGGAATATGCTGATTTGCCTGCAGATGTTTGGATTTACGATTTAAAAAATGATCCATGATGCTGTTCTACTGGATTGCTAATTTTCTGGTCGCCGTATACCTGTTCCTTGTGTTGAGGGACGACTTCAAGGTATGTTAAACTGGTCACGAGATGTTCTGGATTTGATATTTTTGTTGCCTACTGAACTTTGCTAATGGTTGGCAGTTCCTGAAACCTGATTTGCCAATTTCTTTTATGGCCGCCTTTCATTGTAAAATCATTGTGTTTACTTTAATTATCTTGCCTTCTAGAAGAATGAATCATGTACTTTTGTTCTTGTATCATTTTCTGTGTACAAGAAAACAAGGTTTACAAAAGCAATAGAGGAAGCTAAAACTACTCTGTTCTAGTTTTGTATTTGGAAGAAACGTTGCAGAAATATTTTTTTTTTTTTAAATTGAAAGCAAAACAGAACGCAACTTATGAAATGGTCTTTGACTTGGATTTGATTACATAAATTGCAGATATCAATGATTAGATACAACTACCTTTGTGAAATATAGAAAATGCATCTTATATAGAACTTCCAAAGAAAATGCAGAAACATGAAGAAATTAACGTTTGATTTCACGGCTGCTGCTTTTGCCTTTGCGGTTCCAATTTGAAGTTGTCTCAATCGCTTATGGCTTACACAGCCTCTTATCCCTACTGGATGAGTTGTGAAAATTGTGGACCCTCAGCTGGGCAATTTCCACCTCCTCTGACGGAGTCATTTCCCTCACCACCACTGTCAAACAACAATCTGCTCTTTTAACTTCACGTTCTCCCTCTGCGTGGTAGACAAGTCTTCTTTTCAAAAACGCCTCTCCAACAAAGATTATGAGAGGCATTTGCTCGGGCAGAATGACTGATACGATACAGTTTTTGCAGCTGGCTTTATGAGTTCTTGTAACTGCGACAATGCTTCTTCCACACGCATGCCACGTACAAATACAGCAACCAAGTTGACCTTTGAGGACTCTGAAACAAGCAAGTGAAACAAAACTAAAGAGTGGTGCTATTGATGGACTAAAGAAATCCTATTTTTTAAGTTAGAGAAAGTGAAGTATTCTAAAGGACTGAAAGCTAAACCTTCTCAACGTGATTTTAAATTAAAAATTTGATTCTCCAGCTTGCAGAATGATCTCCACAACTGCATAAGCTAAAAAAGGAAATCGATGAGAACTACAACACTAGACGATAAAAGGATCATCTATGGCAAACTGCATCCAAAACAAATTCAAACTCATATGAAAATCTTCCTATAAATGATTCTATAATTAAAGCAGGAGGCAAAAGCAAAGCCAAATTAAGAGGGAGATGATCAGGGAAAAGCAGCTTTTCATGTATAGCAAACCACAATAACTTCTTACTTGAAACAACAATTTAATCAATATTACATTCCCACGCGATGTCCGTAACACAGTTCAAAAAAGGGCTTGTTTAAAGTTTCTTACAGGCAAACAAGCTTGAGTTATTTAACTTTCTTAATGTGCAAAATCTAGAACATATTGATGCATCTAAGTTCTTGAATATATTTGTTACAGATGTATATAACGTCCAGAATTATAGGGATCACATTGATATCCTGGATTATAGGGATCACATTGATCTTGTATCGTAATAGATATTGATCACCTACCTAGTTTAGAACACTACAAGTGTATATAAATATGTATCATTTTATTCTATGAATGAAAAATGTGTGAATATTCATCCTTAATACGTTTTACATGGTATCAGAGTCTTAAAAGGTGATTAGGGTTTGGGTTTCAAATTGAGAACACCTTTTTAGGGTAAGATTAGTTCGACACCACCACCCTAGCAAGATTCAGAAGCTGCCAATCGGCAGCAGTCAAAATCCCCGCACGTGAGCTCCACGCGCCATCTGAAACTCTGGTCAACAGTACCACGCGCCAGCGCGTGAGAGCGCGCCCACTGTTGACGTCTCCTCCGGTTCTCTTCGTCTGCTTCTCCGACACTTCTACAGCACATTTTCGTGCTGGACTTGGGTAATCTCTTACTGGTTACTGCTGTTCTTTGTTTGAATATTTCTAAGGATTTGGTTGTGACTTTTTTGGAACTTTGTTTTTGTTTGCTTATTGGATTTTTGCTGTGCTTTGGTCTCTGATTGGTTGTGGCTGTTGATTAATTTGGTGTGTCACTGAAGTTTGGTTAATTTGCTTTGTTTTAACCGTTTGTTGGTGTGCATTGGGATTATTGTTTATTTAAGACATGTCTGATACAAAACCAGTGATGAAAATGATGCCGACGATGTCAAAAATTACATAACATAAGCTCATTGGTATAACTAATTACCATGATTGGCGTAAAACTGTTATATTGTATTTGCGGAGTATTGATAAAGATGATCATATGACTGATGATCCACCTAAGGATGATTCTAAAAACACATGGCTCCGAGATGATGCTCGGTTGATTCTACAAATACGGAACTCTATTGACAGTGAGATACTTGGCCTAATTAATCATTATGAGTTTATTAAAGAACTGATAGATTATTTGGAGTTTCTATATTTTGGAAAAGGGAATGTTTCTCATATTTAAGAAGTGTGTAAGACATTCTATCGTGCAGAGAAACAAGATAAGTCCCTTACAACTTATTTTATGGAGTTTACAAAGACTTATGAAGTATTGAACATGTTGTTACCTTTCAGTGTTGATGTCAAAGTTCAACAAAAACAACAGGAGCAAATGGCAGTCATGAGTTTTCTTGCAGGTCTTCCTTCTGAATTTGAGACTGTTAAGTCTCAGGTTCTAGCCAGTCCAAAGATCTCTTCGTTGCAGGATGTCTTTAGTAGGGTACTTCGCATAGAAGGTACCCCACCAGTTCAGTTTAGTGGTGCTCTCGTCAGTCAAAAGAATGACTATGAATCTGGGCGATCACAATTTGGAAGGGGCAATAAAGGAGGAGGGTCAAATAGTAATAGGGGAGGAATTGTGTGTCACTATTGCCATAAGCCAAGACACATGAAGCATGATTGTAGAAAGCTTCAAAACAGAAATCAAAGAAATCCCTCTGCCCATGTTGCATCCAACAATGATACTTCTGATCAGTCAGTTCTTATCTCTGCAGATGAATGTGTCAAGTTTTCATTGTACTAGGAATCATTAAAAACTTCATCTACTCCTGTCACGGTTATGGCTGACTCAGGTAAGCCAAATATATGTCTCATTTCCTCATCCTCCAAATTCATCATTGACTCTGGTGCAACAGATCACATGTCAGGTAATCCCAGTCTCTTTGCTACTTATCAATCAAAAACCCTTTCAAATGTGACTTTAGCAGATAGGTCACCATCCTACGTTCTTGGGTCTGGGGTTCAGTTTAGTGGTGCTCTCGTCAGTCAAAAGAATATCTTACATTTACCAGATTTTTCTTTCAATTTGATCTCGGTTAGCCAACTTACTCGTGCTCCTAACTGTTGTGTTTTATTCTTTCCCGATTATTGCTTGTTTTAGGATCTTACGACGAAGAAGATTATTGGTAAAAGACATGAATCTGGAGGTTTATATATTCTTGATAGACCAAAATCTATACCTGTCGCCTGTTCTAGCGTTGCATCCCCGTTTCAAGCACATTGTTGTTTGGGCTATCCATCTCTTTCTTCACTGAAGAGATTGTGTCCTTAGTTTAATAAAGTGTCTATATTAGAGTGTGAGTCATGTCAGTTTGCTAAAGATCATCGTGTCAGTTCTAGTCCTAGAGTCAATAAAAGAGCTAATTCTCCCTTTGAATTAGTTCACTCTGATGTTTAGGGTCCTTGTCCAGTTCTGTCTAAAACTGGTTTTAGATATTTTGTTACATTTGTGGACGATTACTCTCGTATGACTTGGTTATTCTTAATAAAAAATCGTTTTGATTTGTTTTCTTATTTCTGTGCTTTTTGTACTGAGATTAAAGCTCAATTCAATGTTTCTATTCATACATTGTGCATTGATAATGCAAAAGAATATCTGTCAATTTCTTTTCAAAATTACATGACTCAGAATGGCATTCTTCATCAAACTTCATGTGTTGATACGCCATCTCAAAACAGAATAGCAAAACGGAAAAATAGACATCTTGAAACTGCCAGAGCCTTATTATTCCAAATGAATGTTTCTAAACCATTCTGGGCTAATGCCGTTTCCACCGCCTGCTTTTTGATTAACTGCATGCCGTCTTCTGTCCTCCATGGTGAGACCCCGTACAGTATTATTTTTCCTAACAAAACATTATTTCCTCTTGAACCTAAGATATTTGGTAGCACTTGCCTTGTTCGAGATGTTCGACAGTCGGTCACTAAATTAGATCCCAAGTAATTAAAATGTGTCTTTCTGGGTTATTCTCGACTTCAGAAAGGATATCATACTATTGTCCAAGTCTTAATAAGTATCTTGTTTCCATGGATGTTGACTTTATAGAAGAAACACCATACTTTCCCTCTTCTCCTGCAGATCGTCAGAAGGATGATGATAATGATAATTTCTTAGTTTATACCTTCACTTCCCCTGCACAGATATCTGAACCGACTCTTGTCTCAGACCCTATCACTATTCCTGCGCTTCCTGCATCGGCTCCTATCTCTGATCTTGCTCCTGTCAAATTCTACTCTCGTCATCCACCTCCTCCTGCTTCATGCTTGGCACCAACTTCTTCGTCATCCGATCCAGTTTCAAGTGATGATCTTCCTATTGCATTGCGAAAAGGTAAACGGTAGTGTACTTATCCTGTTTCTTCTTGTGTTTCCTATGATCATTTGTCACATTCATCATGCTCTTTTATTGCTTCCCTTGATTCTATTACTATCCCTAAAACTGTTCATGAAGCCATTTCTCATCTTGGTTAGCGTAATGCAATGATAGAGGAAATGAATGCCTCAGATGACAATGGTACTTGAAAATTGGTAGATTTACCTTCAGGGAAACAGGAAATTGGATGCAAATGGGTGTTTACAGTTAAAGTTAATCCAGATGGGTCAATTGCTCGGCTAAAAGCTCGTCTGGCTGCTAAAGGGTATGCTCAGACCTACGGAGTTGATTATTCTAATACCTTTTCCCCTGTGGCTAAGTTCACCTATATTCGGTTGTTTATCTCCATGGCAGCTACTTATGATTGGCATTTGCATTAGCTAGACATCAAAAATGCTTTTCTTCACGACGATCTTTAGGAAGAGGTATATATGGAGCAACCTCCTGGGTTTGTTACTCAAGAGGAGTATGGGAAAGTACGTTATTTTCTCAAATCTCTATATGGTTTAAAACAGAGTCATCGTGCTTGGCTTGGAAAGTTTAGTCAGGCTGTTGAGAGATTTGGTATGCTGAAATGTAAAACTGACCATTCTGTTTTCTACAAATGGTCTGAAACTGGCATTATTCTTCTAGTTGTGTATGTGGATGATATTGTTATTACTGAGAGTGATAGTGTGGGCATCACATCTCTTAAGTCTTTTCTCCATACCCAGTTCCACACAAAAAACTTAGGGATATTGAAGTATTTCTTGGGGGTTAAAGTTACAAGGAGCAAACGAGGTATATTCCTCTCTCAGAGGAAATAAGTGCTCGACTTATTAACTGAGACAGGGAAATTGGGGGCAAAGCCATGTAATGCTCCAATGGTTCCTAATATGCAGCTTATGAAAGATGGTGAATTATTTAGAGATCCTGAGAAATATATAAGATTGGTCGGAAAGTTGAACTATCTTATGGTGACTCGTCCAGATATTGCATATTCAGTAAGTGTTGTCAATCAGTTTATGGTCTCCCCAACAGTTCATCATTGGGCGACTTTGGAACAGATCTTGTGTTATTTGAAAAGAGCCCCTAAAGTGATATATTATATGCCAATCATAGTCACTCTCATATTGAATGTTTCTCAGATGCAGATTAGGCAGGTTCCAAGGTAGATGGAAGATCCACATCAGGCTATTGTGTCTTTGTCGGAGGAAATTTAATATCATGGAAGAGCAAGAAGCAGAATGTCGTGTCACGATCAAGTGCAGAGTCAGAATATAGGGCTATGACACAAGCTGTTTGTGAAATAATGTGGATATATCAGTTCCTAACTGAAATAGGCCTTGAAACTTCAGTACCAGCAAAATTATAGTGTGATAACCAAGCGGCTCTTCATATTGCATCTAATCCAGTGTTCCATGAACGAACGAAACACATTGAGATCGATTGCCATTTCGTTCGTGAGAAACTATAGCAAGGTTTGGTTTCCACTGGGTACGTGAAGACTGGAGAACAATTGAGAGATATCTTCACAAAGGCTCTAACTGGGATTCAAGTTAATTATCTTTGTAGCAAGCTGGGTATGATTAATATCTATACTCCAGCTTCAGGGGGAGTGTTACATATGTATATAATTTCTAGGATTAAAGGGATCACACTGATATCTTGGATTATAGGGATCACATTGATATCCAGGATTATAAGGATCACATTGATATCCAGGATTATAAGGATCACATTGATCTTGTATCCTAATAGAGATTAATCACCTACCTAGTTTAGAACACTACAAGTGTTTATAAATATGTATCCTTTTATTTTATGAATGAAAAATGTGTGAATGTTCATCCTTAATAAGTTTTACAATATTAACCTGAGTATAAAATTTGAAAGACTAAATTTTATTTCTGCAATGCTTAACATCATAATATATACTGTCTTCATCCGCACAGAACATCAAACTAATGTTGCAGGATACAAGAAAAATTAAATAGTCTACAATTGGGTTTACCTCAACATTTCATATGGAAGAATGTCTCGCTTGGAAGCATTGATACACATAATGCATGTCCCGAATAAATTTCTGAACNAAAATTTGAAAGACTAAATTTTATTTCTGCAATGCTTAACATCATAATATATACTGTCTTCATCGGCACAGAACATCAAACTAATGTTGCAGGATACAAGAAAAATTAAATAGTCTACAATTGGGTTTACCTCAACATTTCATATGGAAGAATGTCTCGCTTGGAAGCATTGATACACATAATGCATGTCCCGAATAAATTTCTGAACAGACAAAAATAAATAAAAGTACCTTTTGTAAACTACTTGTTCATACAGGAACAGGAACTAAAAGGACAAAAAAGAAAATATGTAATACAATACTTACTAGCCAATGTTTTCCAATTCTTGTATAAGTGTAGCAGTCCTAAAATTTAAAGCACCTAAGCTTGTACCGTTACTTCTAGCAAGACCGTACTCCTCAAGCTGTATCAGAAACTTAGAAAATTAATTAAAATGTAAATCTACCAATAAAGCAATGGAAAATTATACAGCAGAGAGCATAAAATAGTGTGTCATCATTTTCACGAGTAGACTAAAAAATAATCTATGAACCTTTATTTGCAATGGACAAAAATTATGCTTGCAGAAGTGAGTGATCCTAGCCAACTCTCCACACTGCAGTTTTATTTTTGCAGTCCATTCCTGGAACAAAGTTTCTAGAGAAAAATTGACTTAATTTTAGAAATATCACCCTCGATTGCAGAATCAGCAAGTGTTCTTAGTACTTGCATAACTCTTGACTAAGCAAACAGTAAGGTCTTCCCAACAGTTAGCTCAAAGGTGCCAGATACGCCCATTAACCGGCCACATTGCTTTTCTGGCATTCTATTAATTGCCTCACAAACCTTGTTTCTGTTGATTTTTATGTTAGAATTTCAGTATCTTTCCATTAATGTAAAGAAAGCACATGAAAGGAAATAAGAGAAGACAGGACAAAAAAAAAAAAAAAAGCAAGTAAAAGAAATCAGACTATCACCTTGAAGTTCTCTGGGTCGATGAATAATCCAGCCACCTTATTCTCGTTAGGCCACAAAATAAATGTTATTTCTGCAATACAATCATAATATGTAGTCTTCATCAAATCATAGAAGCAAGTTAATGTTGAAGGATACAAGAAAAGTAAATAAAGAAATTACAATTGGATTTAGCTCAACATTTGAGACGGAAAAATATCTTGCTTCAATCCATTAGTACCAAACATGTCGCGAATAAATTTCCGAAAAGTAAGAAACAAACAAACATGCCTTTAGTAAACTAAATGTTTTCAGATTAATATATACATTAAGTTTGTTATGCATATTTGTAACCACAAGAATGCGGCAGAAAAAGAAATGAAAACAGAGAATGATATATATTACCCATTAGTTGGCTACTACATGCACACTTTATGGTGAAGCAGTCAGAATCATGATGCTTAACTGATAACAGGAAACAGAATCAGATAAGTGAATTAAGTCTAAAAAGACTAATTGATGTAGGACAAGCTTTCCTATTTTTCAAGTTGATTTAGCCTAAGTTATTTTCCTAATTTTCATTAGGAACCTAGTTATTTTAGGAATTAATTAAGTTTATTTTCCAATTTCATAATTCCTTGTTTTAGTACTATTAGGATTTCTTATTTTGTTCTAATTATTTTTTCTTGTAGAATTACGATTAGCATATTATATATAAGGTTTTGTTTCAAGTTATTCAAAGTTATCATCAATAAAATTTATAAAGTTTTCCTTTGGAAGCCTTTGTTGAGGATTCAACGTGTTTTTGTAGATTCAACAAGCCTCCTTGTGGATTCGGGAGTCATCGTACGTGGATTCCACTATGCTAGAGCATATTTAGTGTTTATCCAAATTCCGCTGCATCACCAATTAAAAACTACAGACAAATGAATTACTCGCCACATACCTGTCCAGCAGGTCCATCACCAAACTTATGCTATAAGCTTCTTCAAGCATTAGTAGAGTAATCCTTACTGATAGCTGTCCCAATCAGAAGAAGTTAAAAGCTCATATGTTTGACTGAAACTGAGTGAACGTAAAAATTAGCAGAGACCCACACAAGTTTAGAAATAGAACAGAAATCAAGAAACTCCTTCTAAACAATAATTCGACAAAGTTTAACCTTTGTTTTAGCAATGTATGCCATGCTTCATCCATCATCGAGAGTAGAATCAAGAAAATTGAATGATATTCATTCTGGATTTAGTAAATCACAAAGTCTTTTCTGATCAACTGTTACAATTTTATTTTTGACCAAAATGCAAAATCATTCAAGCAATAGGAGAGGCCTCCACGAAGTGAGTTCAAATGAATGCTTTAAGCCCCTTTGACACATTTCTTGCTTCCACCCGATTAAGTTATCCTAAATTATTCCTGTTAACGAAAAAAAAAAAATTCTTATACATTCAACAACAAATAAAGTTCTAAAACTGAACAGTGTGGAATTTTGGACTGCTGTTTAGCAGACCCAAACAAATATGTAGAAATAGTGTGCTAAGCTATACATAAACTCAGAATCAAATCAGTCTAATTAGCATTAACGCCAAATATGGAAACTTAAGTTTTTGATAATTACCTGTACAATTGTGGGTACGCTGTGAATTGCTATGCGAAAGAAGATCCGCAGAATAATTCATTTACTCTGTCTGGGCAAAGATATGAGGAAGTAGTTATGCTCTGTAATTATCAGAAAAGAGAAGATGTCAACTCTCAGGAGTGAAAGATTGGCAGATATAGAGTAAGATTGGGTTAAGAGAATCAATTAAATTTCTCTAATTAGAGACTGTATAAATTAAAGAGAAAATGTGTAACACGATGAAATTAAATATTAATAATAAAAAGATAAACGTAAAAAGAGAAGTACCAACCTAATTCAATAGATACTGGCCCTCTTTGTGAATCCGCTCATAATCAATGAGAATATTTGGAACATGAGCATCTTTGGCCAGACAATACTCATGTTGTTTCTGTATCTTTCTACCAATTGGTCACAGTCGTTTATAGTCAAGTATTTTAATTGGATACCTTCAGGTAGACCTGTCAGACTATCGCAACCCTCTATTTAGAAGTCTCTCTAATTGTTTTTTGGCTGTAATCATTCAGTAAGAACAGTGAAAAAGCCACCATAAACCCTCTAAACAAAAAAATAATTGTACAAAAGGATATAACTAAAAGAAATATCAAGTTCTTATGTTTCTTAATAACAATTGTAAATTAAAATTTCCAAAACTTTGTGAAGGAAATTTAAAGAGAATTTACAAATCAAAAGGTTAGAATAAGTAATATGAATGGAAGGAAAAAAATGAGCCAGTGGACCAGAAAACCCAGAGTAACTATTAATTTTTGTATATTATAGTTATTAAATAAATACTGCTTAAAAAGTTGGTTTTTCAAGTTATATGAGAGTTTTAAGCTGTTAAATTTTAGCATTAGAGGGTTAATTCTACTAAGGGCCACACGAACATAGCACAAGAGAAATGCAGTCACAAATTCACTCCATTTTCCTTTTTCAAATTGCTATGTCAAAATTTAACTTCACTTCAAAGAAAAAGAAAACGTGAAATGTCCTTCCAATCACCAGGATATGCATCGTCCAGTATACTAAGGGAAGAAACATGAACCGAAACACTCTTAAATTAAAATAAGAATCTGACACTTTTATTCATGGATTAGCATCAATCATAGAGTAACTAAAATGATAAAAACATAAACAAGCTTAAATGCAGGAGTTGAAGGAACAAACCTTGACAAAATCACCCGCTTGAATCATAAAATCCTTTATCACTCTATGGAACTGGCATCCCTTGTAACCAACAGGCAATCCTGCTTTTGTGTTCTTTCAAACCAACAGATGAATAGACAAGAAGTGATTACTCAATCAAAAAAGTAGTCATATATGATACCACATAAAATAGCATATACCAACAGATAGTAGATAACGAGTTAACATTCACTCAAATAGTAGTCTTTTATGATACCATACAATAGCATTCACCAACTACTATCACATACAATCTAATTCACCAACTACTATCCATACAATCTAACATAGAGCTATTCACAGGCCTGGGGTCACCAGCCAGAATTTATATATAAGCACAATTCCATCACTTAAAATTCATTTCCCCACTTTGGCCCCTTCATTTCTTGAACTTTACAATTTAGCTCCCAAAGTGAAATTAATAAGCCAACTAGCACATATCACCACAGCAACAAAGATTAAGATAACAACACAAATTTATTCTAAAAAGAAAGGAAATAAAAAAAAAAAACTTAGTAGACATCACTAACAGCAACGATGACCTCATAATCATAAAAGGTAACATTACAGGATATGAGAACTTGTTTTATGTAATGAGCGCAATAGCCAGATACCTGAACTCACCGGTGCACAACGGCCTGCCAAAGAAGAAAAAAGAAGCGAACTTGAACAAGTGTTGTTGAAATTGATATATGCAGAAGAAAATTTAGGATAAGAAAGGAAGAAAAGTGAAGTGACCTGAAATTTTCAGCGGTTTTAGGGGCAATGTCGGTGAAGAGTTCCATTTTGATACGAGCGGCAGGAATTGTACCGATGGTAATATCGAAGAAGACGATTGGATTCTTAGGGTTTGGAGGCCGCACGTGCCACTCCAGACCTCCGCCGTTGCCGCCTGACGCCATCGATAGCTTTCACTTTCGCACTGAATCGCTCTTTCTTTCTACCAGCTTCGTTGTGAGTGGGGTTTTGGTTTGGGTTTTACTTTTACGAAAACACGTGCTTGTCGCTGACTGGTTAGCTTAATGCATTGGATTTTGCGCCAAGAAAGTTCTAAAAAAAATTGTCAGGCACAGACTTTGATCTATTTATTCAACACCACCTCAATGTTCTTAGAAAATGTTAAGTCTTAACATTCCGAAGGCTCACATTAAAATTTATAACTGTTATAATCACTCACAGAAAGAATCAACCAAATAACAATAGATCAAGAACAAGAATCACAATAAAACACATGCAAGAACAACTAGATTTACTGTGGTTCATTTGCTCTATATTTGAATAAGCTACGTCCACGTTGAACTCTGGAATCACACGAGCTCGCTGCACTAAATCACTGTCAAGATTACAGATTACACACAGCAACACAAATCCCTCAAAAACCCCTTCTTCAACTCGTAACTCACCCTAGAGATTACACCCTTCGAATCTCTATAAACAGCGTATACAATACACCCAGAATGACCTGACTCAGTCACTCAATCAACAAGTTACAAGATTCATTCAACCCAAATTGAAAAACCTTAAAGACTCAAAATGGTGTTTAACGAAGAAGAGAGAGATTTGCCAAAAATGAATGAATGCGTAAACTGCCAAATAACTCTGCTTTTATATGGTTGACATTAGGGTTAAATTCCAACCGTTAGATCTTCTTTTCATCAACGTTCAGGATTGTTTCTTTAGTTTGGATCAAAACGACGTCGTTCCATTTAAGTGCTAATACTACAGCGTTTCAAGCCATCATCCAACAATCTCCACCTTGATGGGTGGAAAAACAGCCCCTGTGCTAGTGCAACTTGCCTTTAGTGAGTCTTTCATAGTTCTCTTGTTACTCTTGCTTACTGAATGGACAGTAGGTTCAAGCAATGCTTGAACTTAGCAATTGTAACAATCTTCGTACCCATGTCTGCTGGATTGTGCTAAGTAGGAACCTTATTAAGCTATCTCCTCCCTAGTGATCAGATCTCTCACAAAGTGATAGCGAACATCTATGTGTTTGATTCGCTTATGGTACATTGGATTCTTACTCAGATGTATTGCACTTTGACTATCTGAAAAAATGGTTGGCTTCAGTTCAGACAGGTTTGCTTCACTCAGGATCCCTTTGAGCCACATTGCCTCTTTAAATACATCAGCTACAGTCGCATATTTAGTCTCGGTTGTTGATAGTGCAACTATAGGCTGTAATTGGGACTTCCAGCTGATGCAGTTGCCCCCCAAGGTAAAGTAATATGCAGTGGTTGACTTCCTAGTGTCCCTGTCACATGCAAAATCAGAGTCTACAAAACCATCCAGCTCCAGTGAGGCAGATCTTTTATAGTATTCCAGTCCCACATTTAAAGATCCACTAACATATTTTAGTACCACTTCAGGGCTGTCCAATGTTCCATACCAGGATTGGACATGAATCTACTCAGCAATGATATCACAAATGATAGGTCAGGCCTAGTGCTAATCATAGCATACATCAAGGATCCAATCACATTAGCATAGGGTATGGTCTCCATTCTAATTAACTCAGCATCAGTATTAGGGCATTGATCCTTGCTTAATGTGAAGTGGTTTGCTAAAGGCATTTGGACAGTTTTGGACCCTGACATTCCAAATTTCTCTACTAACTTATGCAGGTATGAACATTGGTGAATTTTCAGTTTGCATTTACTTCTGTTTCTATCAATTTGCATGCCTAAAATCTTCCTAGCATCCCCTAGGTCTTTCATTTCAAATTCAGCATTCAGTTTATTCTTTAACTCACAGATCATAGGCTTTGATTTGCTTATTAGTAACATATCATCTACATACAGCAATAAGTAAATAGGTATTTCATCTAAAATAGCAAATTAGAAACAACTGTCATACTCACTCCTAGTGAGTCCTATACTTACTATAAAGGTGTCAAACCTCTTATACCATTGCCTAGGAAATTGCTTTAGGCCATATAAGGATTTCAGCAGTAGGCAGACATGATTGGGGGCCCTTTTATCTATGAAACCTAAGGGTTGGCTCATGTAGATCTCTTTCTCAAGATCTCGATGTAGAAATGCAGTTGTGACATCTAATTGTTCAAGCTCTAGATCCCGGTGAGCTACTATGGACAGCATAAGCCTTATGGTTTTGTACTTAACTACTGGGGAAAAAAACTTTATTGAAGTCTATTCCCTCTCTTTGGGTGAAACCGTTGGCTACAAGTCTAGCCTTATACCTGAGGGGATCCTTATCAGTGATACATTTCTTTAGTTTGAACAGCCACTTGCATTGTACAAGTTTCTGATCCTTAGGCTTTGGTACAAGTTTCCAAGTTCTGTTCACCTCCAAGGACTTCATTTCAGCTTCTATAACAGCCTTCTATTGCTCATTTTCTTTTGTCTGCATGGCTTCCTCATAAGTTTCTGGTTCTCTTCTTTGTACATCAGTACCTGCAAGGAGGGCAGTGTATATTAGATCAACATAGGAATATCGCATAGGTGCCCTTACCTGTCTTTTGGTTCTGTCTCTTGCAAGCTGGTAGTCTTGCAAGTGTTCAGGTTGGATCTCAGTGTCATCTTCATTTTCTATCTCATCCTCATGTTCTGGATCAGTTTGTCCAGTTTCTCCTCCATGTTCAATAACAGCTTCAGTTTCTTGGTTGGTTTGAGTTTGGGCAGGAAACTCCACCTCAATTGGTGTAACTTCAGGTTGGGTGAAGGGATCATTTGTACTTGACATGGGGTCAGTTTTGGTTCTAGTTTCCTTACAAGGAAATACTCCCTCATTGAATATCACATCTCTGCTCACAATAATTTTAACCCCTGGAGTATCTCTATCCCGGAGTCTATAACTTTTGGTCTGTTCTTGATACCCCAGCAATATGCACTTGGTTGACCTTGGTTCCAATTTTCCTCCTGTGGTGTGTGCATAAGCTACACACCAAAAAACTCTCAAGTGCCTTAAAGCTGGGACTCTACCAGTCCATATTTCCTCAGGGCTTTTTAAGTTTATTGCAGTAGATGGGCTTCTATTTACCAGATATGCTGCTGTTATAAGAGCTTCTCCCCAAAAAGAGGCGGGGAGTTTGGAGGTTATTAACAGGCACCTAACCTTATCAAGGAGGGTTCTATTCATTCGTTCTGCCACTCCATTCTGTTGTGGGGTATAGGTTACTGTCCCATGTTTGGTCACAACAAAACTTGTCAAATTCTTGATTACAGAATTCCAGCCCATTGTCTGTTCTAAGAACCTTCACCCTTTTTCCCATTTGGTTCTCTACTAAGGTTTTCCAGTCCTTAAACCTACCTAGAGCCTGATCTTTGGATTTCAATAAGTACACCCACACCTTGCGGCTGTAGTCATCCACCAGAGACATAAAGTAGCTATTCCCTCCATAAGATTTCATTTTTCCAGGTCCTCAAAGGTCAGAGTGTATGTATTCTAGTGGTCTAGTGGCTAGGTGTGTCCCTTTGGTGAAACTATTTCTATGCTGTTTCCCTAAAACACAATTCTCACAGAATTCAAGGGATTTGGTCTTGTCCTTGCCAAACTGCCCTTTATTCTTCAGAATGTCCATGCCTCTTTGACTCATGTGGCCTAATCTAAGATGCCACTTTTCTGTATTGGACAAGTTAGTAGAAGTCGTCACAGAATTAAAGCAGTTTTGGGAACGATTCCCACAAAGAATATAAAGGCCATTTCTTTTCTCTCCTTTCAGTATCAAGTTGTTATCTCTATATATGTTCAAGCATCCATGTTCTGCTTTATAACAACATCCTGATTCATCTAAGGTGCCAAGGGATATCAAATTTCTTTTAAGTTCTGGTATGTATCTAACCCTAGTTAGTTTTACCACTTTTCCAGTGTTAACCCTTAGAGTCACTGTGCCTATCCCCCTTACTCTGCATGCATTATCGTTTCCCATGTAAACAGTTTCATTTTCAACATTTTCAAATTCCTGGAACCAGTCTCTTCTAGGACTCATGTAAAAGGAACAGCTTGAGTCCAGCACCCACTCTTCACCAGTGTCATTCATTGACATAGTAAGTACTTCAGGTTCCTCTACCAGGTTTCCAGTAGTGGCTAGGTTATTCTCAGTATTCCCTTGTTTTTGCTTTTTAATCCACTCAAAACAATTCTTTTTAATATGCCCAGTTTTATTACAAAAGAAACATTTTTTGGACTCTCCTCTATGCTTGTTACTGCCCTTCCATTTTTTCTTATTTCTAGCCACCTGATTATTTTGATTTCCCTTGCTAGTTTGACTAGGTTCTGGTCTACTCTTAACAAACAGATTTGTGCCATTCCGTTTCTGGGTTTTCAATTCTAATTCTCTAGCCCTAAGTCCTGCTGTTATTAGGTCAAGATTTGGTACAGTACCCGAGTACTGTAGGGCATTCTTGACTACCTGGTAGTCATCAGTCAAGGAATTCAATAGAATCATGGCTAGGCTGGTTTCTCCTAAAGCTTGATCTGTCCCTTTTAGGACCAAGGTCATTTTCAGAAACTCGTCTAGGTTTTCATCTATGCTCTTGGCACTATCCATTTTATAAGAGAATAAAACCCCCTTTAAAAAAGCTAGGTTGGGGCCAGATTGCAAAGCATACAGGGTAGTGAGTTTACCCTAGAGTTCAATCGGTGATTCAATTCCATCTACCTTCCGAAGGATGCTGTCGGACAGATTCATGATTATCAGATTGTATGCCTCCTCATTGATCTCCTCTTTCTTTTTCAACTTCTCCTCTGGCCATTTTTCAGAGTCCTCTTCTAGTGCGATGGCAACCTTATTGTGAGAAAGCAATGCTTTCATCTTTTTCTTCCAACTCCCAAAATCGATCTTCCCATCATATTGGGAGATCTCCATACGAGTGGTACTCATTATAATATAATGAAAATAAAGAAAACAACAAAGAATCTAAGAAGGTACGTAGCGTTGTTACACTAGAATTTGCCAATTACTGCCAGACAGTTTTTAAGGCGATTACTGGTTTCCAGCCTATATACCTTTTAGAACTTAACCAAGATTTGACTCTCTAGATCCTATTGGAGAGTAGAAG